TCTTCTTAATATATATCTATATTTACAGAATATTCTCATAAACCGATTCAGGATTTTATTATTATGAATAATATAATATTTAATATATAATATAATAATTTATTACTTAATAAATGTTAACTTTACAATTACTTGCATATTAAGTAAATGAATGAACATACTGGAGATACAAAATAGTTTTATGGCACAAGTGTTGCATTCATAAGTAACATTTTTTAGAAATAGAAATTTTATTCTACTGTTAGTTGATGTATCATAATTTGTAAACCATATCCAATCAGTAAGTATTGTTAAATAACCTCTGTAATTTAATAGGCTGTCCATTTTCCAATTGATATCCACTCTCGAGTGTACGCTTTCTATGATCGGGAACTACAGTCCATTGTTGAACATTAGGGTCCATATCGACAGCACCCGATGTTTCCGTGTATTGGGGTAAGGACTCATCACAGGGTCTAAAAAAGGCCTCAATTTCATCGGTTAGCTCAGGTATGTGTGCGACATGTGTAGGCAGTGTGACTAGATACCAAGTATTTGACTAGACATTCAAGTATTTGGGGTGTTGGTCAAGTGACAAGGTAAGGGGTCATTATAATGTCAAGTATTTTATTTTACATAAATTATTAATGATATTATGTAAAATCGCGACCAAATAGCAAAATAACATGAATAATATTGTAATATTCTTATATTAAATTTTTATTTTTATAAGTAACTTGAAAAACATAGAATTTAATGAACTTCTGTTTAGTTTGTTGATAGTTAGATTAATTTTGTTAATAATAAAGTATACAGAAATCATCTCTATTGTCCAGATTAATACTTGTAATTAATTTGGCATATTTGTGTTTAAAATAAAGTACCAATTAATAATAAATTTTAAATTGAGGAAATGGCACTTAATTAAAGAAAACTAAAACAATTTTAAAAGGAATATTTTCCCAATTACCGGTAGTTTAATTTCTAAGTTTAATTTCACAAGTTTAGTTTTTAACTTAAAACATTTAAAATACCTTATTTGAGCATAATTTTAAGTTAATGTCATATTAAATAGTGTTATAACTATTATAAAAGCATAGTTTAATTGTATTTTTGCAAAAAACAACTTGTCAAGTATTTGTCAAGTATTTTTTGAAGAATGTATTCAAAAATACAAGTATTTTCGATTTTGGATCTGGTCACACTGATTGAAAACAAAATAATATATTATACTGACATGTAAGATAACTTTATTGTGCTAATATATTGTCGTTATTTTATTATTAATAAAATGTGTTAAACAAGATCATGCTCAGTTTTGAGTTATTTATTTATACAGTTAACTATTTCTAATCAGTTTTTCTTAGCGACATTTAGTTACAAATGATTTTTTAGTAAAATAAGAAACAATGGATTTTATTATTACAACATATTAAATATACTATACATTATTATTAATATTAATACTTTTATTAATTTATATACTGTATATATTTTTAATTGATCTCGCTCCAATGAACGAAGATAATTCTCTACAAAAACTATATGATTACATCAAGTCATTTTATAATGATATTGAATTATCAAACACCTTTGTCAGATTTCTTCGGTCACACCCATGTTCTATGTTAATTGATGACATATTGGCAAGTTTACATTGATTATATATTATATTTATAAAATTTAAAATATAAAAGTATGTTTAATTTAATTTAGAATTTCTAAATTAATACAAATTTGTTTAATGATTTATATAATTAATAATTAATAATAATAGTAGGCATATTTCATTTATTAGAAATTTTAACGTTTTGAGTACTTGTAAAATGTTATTTACTTTTAAGTTTTCTTTTAATTTTGATTAAATAAAATTTCTGAATATTATGGTTATAGACAGCCAGTTCCACATATTACAAATTATTAAAAATAGTAATACTAATAGCATTACTAAATGTCAATGTTACCTAATTGTGAAACTCAATGGTTATAGGTTTGAGGTACCTTTTGTTATATCGAATATAAATGTGACAAATTGAAAATTCTTTGTTGATAACTAATTTTTTATTTATTAGTTTAATTAATACACGAATAAGAATTATGTATAAGAATTTATTTAAAATATTTAGATTATAAATAATATATCGATACAAAAGCGTCAGTTATTGTGGCAGTTCTCCCAACAACGCCAACACAGGCAACAATTGGCAGATATATTTGATAAGGTGGGTCAGCATGGAGTCGCACAATTGCTACGACAATTTGACCGAATTTGTTTGAGGAAGTCAGACGAATTTGAAATGTTGTCAAAGTTGGGTGAGGATGGCTTTGGAGTAGTATATCAAATGAAACACAAAATAGACCACAAGTTATACGCTGTTAAACAATATAACTTAGATTGTAAACATTTTATTAAGTTTACAATACAACGACACTAATAACCTTTTATATTTAAGACTTTACTTCCCGGGAGAAAGAACGGGCGTACAATGACTTTAAAAAATTACGAGAACTACAATCAAAATACGTTGTCGTATATTACGATAGTTGGCTCGTCAATGACAGGCTATCAATTCAAATGGAGCTCTGCTCAAAAAACCTCAGCAATATCTTATATTATAAACGGCAGATATCTTATATTATGCGACGTCCCGAAGAGCCAATGGATTTATACGAGTACTTCATTTCGTGTGAAATATTCAAAGAGATCTTAGAATGCATTCAGTATTTACATGAATTGAATCCAAAGATCATTCACAGGGATCTGAAACCCGAGAATATTTTGATCGCTACAAATGTAGTGAATGACAGATTCATTAAGTTAGGTAACTTTATGTTTGCTACGGAACACCATGATATTGGGGCCGATAATCTAAAGCCACATACGGCAGATGTTGGAGACTACAGGTATATAGCGCCCGAAGTAATGCGTGGAAAAAATTATGACCATAAATCAGACATTTTTAGTCTGGGCTTAATTGGGGCAGAAATATTTGACGTGGATGTATATGATTTCCATTTAACAGAGTTAGTGACGTACGGTATATTATTAAAACATTATATTAAAATATTTAATTTACAGGGAAAAATATGCGCCAAATGAAAATATGGTTTCTGAATCAATAATTCAATTGACAGATGTATTAGCTTTAATGACTCAAGAAATCATTTTCAATAGAAGGCCTAATTGTAGCGAAATTTTGCAAAAATATAACGAATGGTCTATTGATAAGAATATTCTTTTAAAACATAAGGATTTACAATCGAAATTAAATAGTTTAAAGTCAAATGATTTGCAATTTTTCTATCAATTCTTAACATATAAATTAGAAATTGATACTGATGAAATATATATAATTAAATTAAGAGATAATTATTTTAATGAAACATTTAAAAAATTAAATACCATTGGAGCAGGAGCATTTGGCAGTGTTTTAAAAGTTAAAAATAAAATGGACAACCAAGAATATGCGGTTAAAATGATTACATTTAAAGAAAATGGTAAACATATTTATATTGACATGTCTGGACCTTAATCTTATATAATATTAAATATATCTAGGTTTAAATGACAAACAAAAAAGGGATGTCTTTAAGGAAGTGGAGTATTTAAGTCGAGTTGACCCCCAATTTGTCGCTCAGTATTTCGATTCGTGGAGAGAATCGGATATCGTTTACATTCAGCTCGAGATATGTTCACAGAATCTGACAAATATTCTGGAAATCAAACCACAAATATTCAAACGATTGCCAAACGAAACCATGAATTCATACGAATATTTCATTTCGTGTGAAATATTTAGAGAAGTTTTAGAATGTGTTAAATATTTGCATGAATTGGGATATATTCACAGAGACCTCAAACCCGACAATATATTAATCGCCGACAATACAACTAACGGAAGATTCATAAAGTTATGTGATTTCGGTTTAGTTACAGAACACAACAATAGCATTCATAATATGACAGATAATAAACATTCAATAAACGTGGGAACAACCAAGTACAGGGCACCAGAAGTTGGTCATGGCAAAAAATACGATCATAAATCTGATATATATGGGCTGGCACTCATTGGTGGCGATATATTCAGCTTGGACGTTTTTAAAGATCTTGAAAAGTAACTAACTAATTTATGAATTTTAAATTTATTTTTAAATTAAGATTGTAAATTATTCTTCAAATGTTTTAGTGATCATGATTATTCAACTATTCATAACAATTTAAATGGCCCTGTTTATAATCTGATTGAAATTTTGGATAAAATGATGGGTCGGAGATGGCATAATAGGCCGGACTGTCGTGAAGTGTTGGCTAAATATAACGAGTGGTCTATCGATAAAAATATTGTTGCAAATGATCCCCAATTTCGTGACACATTAGAGAGTATTCATGCGATTGAGACACAAATTAGATGTAGAGATGAGAGTGAAAGAGATAAACGATATATCGATCGCACACTTAATGATGATTATTATGGCGTACAGAATGGGAAACTATTCTTCAAAAATTATTTAAAATATATTTCCAAATAAATAATTTAAAATTTTATAAAAGGTTTGAATTTATAATTATTGATTAAGGTTGAATTCAATATTTTAATATAAGACCAATATTTATGTTTAATTATATGTAAATTATATATTAAAATTGAATATGTGTAAACCTAAAACCATTTAAACGTTTTTGCTAAATAGCGTTTAGTGTATATAAAATATTTAATAAACTTCTATTATACTTTTATTAAACTTTTATAAAATTTTTATAATGAATATGAATAAAAAATTAAATAATACAACTTTGTAATTGATTTTATATTATTTGTAAATAAAAGATTATTAATATTAAGAATATTCATTATAAAAGTTCAATTAATGTTTAATAAAAATTTTATATACAGTAAACGCTATTTAGCAAAAATGTTTAAATCGTTTTAGGTTTACACATATACAGCTAAGATGCGCATTCATTGTATTCAGGGCCACACTAACAGTGATAAAGCTGTGAATATTAGAACATTAGTCCGTATCGAGAATAATGTTAAAATGTTTAAAGTTTTATCACTCATAGTGTTGCTCGGATTGGCTCCATTTTGCATATACCGTATACAGCGTTGTTACTAAACATCGGACCGATTTGGGAGGCTTGGCGTTTGGACACCCTGTACTATTTTTGATGATTCCTTTTCGAAGGTGTAGAGGAAGAGTTAGATTTTTATGTGGTATATAATTTGTCAAGGTTATATTTGTAGAAAAAGTTATATACTCGATTTTTTCAAAAACCGTGGAAAATATTAAGTTGTTTTGAGAGGTTTTTGCATAGAAAACGATTATTACATAGAGAAATAATTGAGGTTAATATTTTT